TAAAAGAAATCTAATCAAAAATTCCCTTAACAGTCTGTTAATAGCATTTTCCACCTAACTTTTCAAAAACCCCATTATACAAAAAGTACCAAACTTACCAAAATGTGCTAGGTTTTCATATTTATGAAGACTTGTTTGGTTCTAATTTCTAACAGAAATATACTTATGCCTCCACTCCCTTCAGCCCAAAACTTTCACATATAAAAGAGAAAGATCTGAAATTGTCATACACAACATGTTTGGGCTCCTCAAACTGCACAAGATGTGCAAAGTGCTCCTATGGATTAAAAAAAAAAAATCATTTTTCCACAGATGTGGGAGGATAATTTTAGAAGATAATTTTTGCATTAAGTAGTGCAGCTATAATCGCTTGCAGTCTTACAGCCTTTAATAACTGGAATCAATTTCTCAAAGTGAATCAATATAACTCCATTATGAATACCATCAAGATTATGTCTTTTTACCTATAGTCATCATTACCAATTCAGACTAAACCACAAATTTTTTCACTCATCTTCATAACCCACAGTTTCACTACTTTGATTTTCCAAAGCCAACAAGACTTAAGAAATTTTTGCTGTTGACCATTAAGCATGACAATGTCAAAATCATATGTTCTCCAACTTGTATTGGTACTGTCAGGGGCCACACCATTATCTGAAATAATAGTTTCCCTTTTTTTGACAATTTTTCTGCGTTGGGTTGGTTAACTTACTGCTCATCACATCCAACATTTCTTTTCAGTGTTTACCTTCATCTGATACAGAACTTGCTGGAGCTGAGAACATTTCCCATCCTTTCATCAGAAAAGCCTTCAGCTATAAACACAGCTGCAATGGGATGCTCAGCCATGGCACAACCAGAAAAACAATTTTCAAGTGCAACTTCCGTGTATCTGTTTTACCCATCAGCTCTAAGTACTCTCTCCAGTGTCTAACGGCATATAAGGTGAACGCATTTGAAAGCAGGTACTTTCAGTTGCCTTCAGCCTTCTTTGTCCTTTTCCAGTATCTCAAATCCTATGGAAAACAAGGTAGGATGTTATATTTCCAGAGACAGTGCATCTCTGAGGAGATACAGAGCCACAAGACATTCAGAGTGGAAGTGGGCAGAACACCAGAGCACTCTGGCTCTAACAGCATTTGCAGATAGCAATAGCAAGTCATAAAGCATACTTCCCCAAACCTCTGGATCATGAAAACAGCTTTAATTTGTCTTTTACCCATCCACGCCTAAGAAGAAGCTCAGGAGAGCAGACACACCAAAAACCTGGCATTTGTGCAGCCTGCCTGTTGTCAGAGAGACACAAAAAAAATGAGTATGTTCAGATTGTGACTGTATCACCCACATATACTTGTAAAGGGGAAGTGCATGAAATAAAAACCAATGTCTTTGTAGTCAAACCATTAGACCAGGAGTTAGGAGACCTGAGCTTTCATCAGTCCTACAAGAAATTCCTTGTGGATAAACCACATTCTGTTCTTTAGCTTTGATGTTTTTCTCTAAAAGGACAAAACCAAAATGGCCATTTGTTGCAGTCAGCTGTAATTAATGACAAGTTCTATGTAGATCAAATTCACTCATGTTTATGTCATTGCTAAAGAGTGGTAGTTGTAAAAGCTCACATTGAAACTATTGTCTAAGAGATATTACAAATTATCATTTTTGTGACATTATTAAGACCGTTAAGTTGAGACACATCAGCTATGAATTTGGGAACTCAAGATTTTACCCACATAATCTTATTCAGCTGGTAGTTCTTGCGTGTAGAGCATTACAGTATTTATGTACACACACACCTACCTACACACCCTTAGTCTTACCTGTTTCCTTATATTAAAGCCAAGCATCGGAGCTGTTCCATGAACCCCAGCACATTTTGACAAGCAGGGACACCAAAAGCAGAGCTACCTCACTGTGGGTGCGGTGTCTTTTTATTAGAAAGCCTTACCCATGGTTCAGAAGTGAATGGCTTACCACACACTGTACATGAAACCTCCAGCATATGACCCTCTATGTGAACTCCTGTATCATCTCAACTTCTCTTTCCACGTGTTAGAGCAAAGGCTCAAGAATGAACAAATCTGTCTTGGTAGCTAAACTTGGCTATCTCTAGGAGATCCCTACCAACGTCCATCTTGTGTTCAAGATCCAGGGGTTTGTGTTAACAACAAAATTCTAAAACAAGAGCTGGAAGCTTTCACCAAAGCAGTGTCCACAGACAGCAGTATGTGCTCCAGCTGCATTGTTTCTGCTCACGTTCCTACCATGAAGATCAGTCCACCCTGTCTCTGCTAATCAATGAGAAAAAACAACTTTTGGTTTTGGTCTTCCTGCCAAGACTTTCCATTGGTGTAAAAGGAATTGATTTTGTAATTGCTCTTTGCAGCCTTCATTTCATTATTGCAACTTACTCATAATCCATGAGCTTCCAATTGTAACCACATTTACTCCTAGAGTACTACCCATTACTTTACCCTCCAAAATGATTTAGCCTGATAAGAGAAAGGCAGAGATAATTTTGCTTATGCTGCCTCTCATTCCCTCTTGCTAGGATGCATCCGCATGCTCCATGGGGCAGTCTGCAAAGTTCTGTCAAACACTTGACGATACAGTCCCTGCATTTCAGTTCTGTGTCCTCTAATTTGTGAGATGGGCAAAGTCCTGGAAGGGAGTTAATAGAATCATAGAATGGTTTGGATTAGAGGGACCCCAAAGATCACCTAGTTCCAAACCCCTAACCATGGACAGGGATGCCACCCGTTAGATCAGGCTGTTCAGGACACCCATCCCAGGCCTTGGACACTGCCAGCGATGGGGCATCCACAGTTACTAAGATATTCTTCTTCTTCCCAGAGCTGTTCAGATTTCCATGACTTGTGTTGTTATTTATGGCAGCTTGTGGTCATGGAAATGCATCACCACTAAGGAAGACATGCCATAATCCAATCTTCAATTTAAGTGACTCACATTACTGGTTTTTTTTTTTTTAATATAGGTGTCCTCTGATAAATTTTCTGTCCTCCCTTTAACAGCAATTGCTTCCTTTCTGTAACAGCTGATCAAGTTCTCTTTTTAATTGCTCACTTCTTACAGTATGAACATCCATCAGGTTTGCCCTTGAAGAGTATGATCACTCTTCCAGAGAAAGTTCCTCACTGAATTGTTATTAAACAATCAATATTTCTACTTGAATGTAAGGCAATCTGGTTTTCTCTTCCCTCCTGGTCACAAATCACCCCATTGTTTCTTTTTTTTTGTCTCTCCCCATACCTCTTAAAATTGATCTTTTCCCTTGGGACAGGCCTAAACAAAGATTTCAGCAACGGGCAGTCCAGTAAGTCACTGCTTTGGATGCTGCACAGCATTAAAGCCAGTATCTCCAGGCAGGTTTCCTTCTCCTCTACTGAGTCTCCCAGCTTCCAACTCAAGAAACAGATTGCACTTATCCTTTGGCAGAGATAAAAGAGAGTGTAGCCAGGGCAGGTAACTGCAGTAACTCACTAGGCATCTGTGAGCTTAATAAAACATAGTGTTCTCCTGGCACAGAAGGGAGCCAAATGCCCTCAGCTGCCATTTCACTAAAGTAAGCCCTGCAAACCACAGGGATTTAGAGTTCTTACATCCAATGCTTTTTGCAGTTCTTCATGCTTGCACACTAAAAGGGTGCTCATTGATTTAATAAAGCCAAGGTCTAGGGAGATCTATAAATACAAGTGTTTTACCCTCATGCATTATTGCCCTGATGCCCAAGACTGAACTTCTGCTCTTTCACAGATAAATTGCTTCCTCACTGGTTAACACCAGCTTCCATTAGCAAAAGTGGTGGCAGACATATTTGGGAAGGTGATCCATGATAAAACACAGCTTCATCTCCCCTTTTGTTTTCCCTTTGATTTCTTTACTCGCCACATCCCATGCTCCCCTTTTTCCCATCTGACTCTGCTCAGAAGAAATCAATAATGTATTCTTTATCAATATTACCTAAAAAGTTATCAATGAGTCTCACTTCAAATCTGCTGAACTCAGTGGAGTGACAGGTATCAACCTCAAGGGGCTTAAGATGATCTTGGTCCTACAGTTGCTAAAATTGCCTTCTAAAAGGCAGTCTGAAACAATTCTTTACATCTTTTATGGACTTACAATAATAATAATAGCAATAATAATAGGGAGACAGAGTGTGTTGATATTTCAGTCCTAAAGTAGAACACATTCTGTAAATTCAGCTACTCTGTAAATTCCAAACTGTAAAACACGGGGCTTTCTAGCCTATACTTTTCATTGCATTCAACAGCAAATTAAGGTTTATGGCTTTTATTTAAAAATATCATAGAAAGTTTTATTTAGAATGACTGTTTTACAATAACTCCTGAGTCTTGGCTTGTCCAACTGAACTGCTCCCAAAAATGCTTAACTCTGAGACAGAACAAGGAAGAAGAATTTCTCCCCAAAATGTGTATCAGCTAGTAACACCATTAACCACTGAACTCCCAGCACAGCAGGAAAAGCACTCTGACAGAAGCATCACTTGTGCTTTCACTGTCATGTTATTACAGCACATACAGTCACGTTGCTGCCTTCACCTTGCACCCTTGTGGAGCTCCTCACCCACTGGGATTGTGACAGGGAACACATGGGAGCTCAAAGCAGCAGCGTTTCCAAACCTTACCTTTCCTTCTTTTTGCTGAGCTACAAGTAAAGACTTCTGGGTGTATCCCCAACTCTGTGAAAGTTCTCCCCATAAATTCACATGGCAAACATGGTTTCACAATGTCCTGAAATAAAGGCATGTACAACTTTGTGCCCAGGCTTTAAAGTCAAAGAAATGATTGCCAGATCATGTATTGAGTTACTTTCCATTAGCTCAGCTCTGAGATAACCTTGTGTTACATAAAGGCAACAGAGTCACCCATGATTTGATTATGTGAAACATTCCCCTCTCTGTGCAGTTACATTTAGTACACATCTAAATGTTCTTACTAGCTGAAAAACACACTTACCAGGCAAATACACATTATGCAAGGGTTGTCAGTGATAAAAGGTATCTGCAGAATTTCCCCTTCATTTTCACATTTTGCAACCGATCCTGAAATAGAAATAAAAATTTTAAAGTACTAGCATATTTCATTCCACCCTGACAGTTTTGGAAACTATCCTCTTCGCATTCACGTTTAACCCTTGCTCCATTCCTAGCCCTCGATTTTAAACCCTGCCTTAATTTGCCCAATTTAATCAGGCATGGATGTTCAGCGTTTCTGCAAGATTCTAAAGAGAACAGGGAAATGAGTGGCCCTTTATTGCCGCACAAACCTAGACTTTCTTTGTGCCCCAGTTATAGCAAAGGACGCTTTTTCTTCTCTCAGATGACGTGTGGAGAATAACGAGTACTCCATGCAAAGCAGGATACGTCTATAACGATAGATCCAGAGCTTGCTGCAATCGGCAGAAAGCAGTCCATTGCACTCTGAGGACCTGGACCAGCACAAGCCCTAAACCAAGCATCCTTTTAATGCGCGCAAACCACTTGGCAAATGAGTCGAAATTAGCAGGCTGACTGTCAAATGGAATCAAATTAGGAAACACTTTACGGCCCTAATGCTGATTAGCCGATATTCTGTCATGCTGGAATCACTCCTCAAAGTCTAATGGCTCCTCGCTTGAGCTAGAATTTGATTCTGCGTTTCCCTCCATGCCCCAGATCTCAGGAAAATAAAACCCTCGAGGGGAACGGGGAGAATGGGAAGGGGGGTGAAAAGGAATAAGAAAACCTTTTTTTGGGGGGAGAGAGGCACGGTTACTGTGCTCACCTGCCCCAAACCACGCGGTTACACCTCGGGCAGCCCATCCCGCGCAATGCCACCCTGCGCAGGTGGGCCCCGCGCCGCCCGCGCCCCGCCGTACCTGTGAGCAGGGAGGAGGCCGGCGCCCCGGGCAGGCACAGGACGCCCAGCAGGACGGCGGCGGAGGCCGGGGAGAAGCGCGGGGCCGCCGGCCAACCCCCGCCGAGCCGCGGCATCGTCCCGGGGGTGCCGCTGCCCACCCGCCGGCTGCGGGGCAGCGTCCGGGACGCGCCGTCGGGTGGCGGAGCCCGCCCACCCCGGCACGCCCGCCCCAGCACCGACCCCCGGCGCCGGGCAGCGGCGGGGGGGTGGGGAGCAGGACGGGAGACCGCGGCCCGCCGGGGAGTCCCACCCCACGGCGGCACCGGGGGAGGGGACTGTGGGTGCGGGGAAAGCAGCTGTCAGCGCCTGCCCCTCGGCCCCGCACCCCCTCTTTCCATCACCCCCCTCCCTTGCCCGCATCCCTTCTTATACCTTCCTCTCCCCATAGTCCCTCCTCCGGCACCCCCCGGCCCCATGCATCCCTCCCCCCCCGGCGCACACACGCACAGACAGGCTGCCAGCCCCAGACCCCGTTTCCCTGCCGGGAGATGCCCGGCCACTCCCTCCCTGGCCCCGCCGAGCACCTCCCGGCCCGGCAGCGGCGTCGGGGGGCTGCGCCCGCGGCCGCTCGGCGGGAGGGGCGGGGGGAAAGGGAGAGGATCGAGGAGAAGAGGAGGAAAAGGTAGAAGAGGAGTAGCAGGGGAGGAAACGCGGATCCTCGGGCAGGGCCCGGGTACCTGGGCAGAGCGCGGCGGCGCCGGCTGCCTCCGGCGGGCTCGTCCCCGGCTTTTGTCAGTGCCCTTCGTGCTGCGGGCAAGTTTTGCCAGCCTCCGGCTAGCGGCGAGAGGGAAGGAGGGAAAGAAGGAAGGGAGGGAGGGAGGGAGCGAGGGGTCGGAGGCTGTCCTCCGGGAGCTCTGCGGAGGGGCTCCGCTCCCCGGCTGCCCGCCCGGCCGGGGCCGCCGAGCTCCCCTCGCCTCCCTCTCCCGCCGCAGCCGCAGCCGGAGCCGGCCGCTCCCCGGGCCCGCTGCCCCCCGAAGGGGCTCCCGCCGGCCCTCCCCGTCCGACTCCGGGGTTTCCTCTCCCCCTCGGGCCGCCCGGGGCTGGGGAGCAGCCGGAGGGCAGCTCACGGGGCCGCGCTGTCCCTCCCCGAGCCCGGCCCGCTGAGCGCGTCCCTCGGTCGCTCCGCGGTGTAGCCTTTGCAGCTCCTCCTTAACACTTGCCATTTACAGGTCCACGCTTTGCTATCCCAGGTGTAAACACGGGCGATGTTAACGATAGACGTCACCGACACCCGGCTCTGGCGCTCACAAGTAGGCGCGGGGTCTGGACGGGATGACACTCGTGGCGTTTGGCAGGAGACTCCTCTGTGACAGATCTTCCCGAGCCTGTTTTACAAATCGATTTCTTTCAAACGGTAATGTTTCATTTGGGGAAATGAATACTCTCTGAAATAAACTGGTCTGACAACAAGCAGAAAAATGCTTTCATATTTCTACACGTTCTTATTTTATTTCTTTGGGGTCTGCATGTGAGTTGCGATTTCCAAAATGCTTACAAGTAGTGGCAAATCAGATGCATGGCAGGCTGATGTATACAGAACTGCTTCAAATACTGCTTCTTACATCCCAGTAAGATGCAAGACAATTTATTTGATTTGTAAGTTCATTTTGAGAGTAAAACCCAAAAGCCAAGACCTCTGAAAGTCTACAGAGGTCTTTGTGCTAAAAAGCAAAATACAGTCACCTCACTTCCAATACAACTTGTCATGTACCTTTAGGGTATAAAGCAAAAGTCCTAAAACAGCTGAAATTGCACCTATGGGAGGGACTACAGATCACCTTCTGGACATCACTGTCAAAATCCCTCTCCCCGAGGAAAGGAAAGCTACTTTTCCAGCCTCGATCTGTACAGGTTGAAGCTGCATAGGAACATAGAATAATTTAGATGCCATTATAAGGGTTTTATATTCCTGAAAAATACATGTGTGGTCCTAATCTTTCTCCATGCTGTGTAGAATACATTATAAACTCAGTATATAAATACAGTACACATAATGTGGATTTTTTTTTTTTTCTGGGTAATGTCATCTTTACATTTCCATGCATTTTAAACAAAGACAAGCCTGTACAGGTACATATTATTATGCACTACTTCAGAACAGATTTCCACACATCCAAATGTTGTTGGGTTTTTTTTTTTTTCATTGGAAAGATGTACTGAATCTTCTGGTAAACTGGCTTTTTCTTACATCGCTATCTGTAATCAGTGGTTACATTTCCCTTTTCTAATTACAGTGCAGCCACAGCCTTTCTAAAGCAATAGCCATAGGAAAAATAAATCTACCCTAATAATTTCTTAAGTGACAGCTACCACAGGAGAGTACTTATATTATCGAATGCATCTAATCTTCTCTTTATGCTGGTCTAAAAGTCATTAAATATTAACATCACCCGGTGTGAGAAACATACAAATCACAATGAGGGCATCAAATAACAATCCAGGCATCCAAGTAACAGCAGGAAACATGCTAAAATAGCCTGGAAAAAGCAAAGAGGAAAGTTCTTTATGAAATGAAGACAAGAGGTGACAACAACTGAGCATCACACTCAATCCCTGCCATAATTCATTCACTAAGACAAATATTTCATAAAATCATATTAAGGCAGGGTAGTCACAAAGCAGTATGTACAGATTTGTGATGAGATTTTCCTTTTCCCATGGAAAGAAACCATTGTGATCATCAGTACAGCACCTTCAACATACTGATTAGGCCTGAAACTTACCTCTGAACATGTGCAGCATGAAAACATTGTCCATGGGGTGAGCTTGCTCAGTCTTTGCATCTTCTGTGGCAGCAGCAGTGCTGAGGTGAGGAATTTTCCCGTCTTCCTTGCTTGAAGCACCTCCTGAAAAGGAACTCTAGGTCTCCCTGTATCATGGCTACTCCACACAGCCTTATTGCTGTCCAGTGGAAGAGCCTGCTGAGGACTGGTGCTGCCTCTGAGTCTCCCTGGTTCCCTATCTCCTCTGTCATCGGGAAAGCGGAGAGATGAGAGAGACGCTCATCCTTAGCAGCAACCTTTGTTGCTTCCTTCATATTGATAATGATGACATATCACAGGGGAAGATCACTCATTTAAATCTCTCATGAAGTAAAACCCAGCCTGGGAGGGAAATAATGCCATCTTAATCCTCCCCCATCTTAGTTTCACCCACTCAGTGCTACAGGTTTGTCTTGGCTTTTTATCTCTCCTGTACCCACTCTCCCAAGCCTGCCTTATCAGGGATCAGCATCCTTTTTCATTGTAATGTTGTGTTAAGTTTCAAGGTGGGTTGGTCTGTTGGTTTTTTTTTCCCTTTTGTATCCCTGTTTGAAGAGGTACTTATTTTTCCAAGCAACATTCAAAGCTGTGGTCATTTTAGAAAATCTGAGGGTCACACTGGAAAAGGGTGTCCTGCTATCAGATACATACAGAGATTTTGTGGTTTGCCAGCAGTTAAAACAGAAGTCATGTCATCAAACCACTTACCTCTTTTGTATAAGCATTACATGGTATCAGTTGTTATTGAAAGGATATGTTCATTAGTTCTATTTAGTGGTCGGCCTTGGCTCTCCCAGTTGATGGAGCGGTAGCTGTTCACAATTACCACTTTGTGTGGAGCTCAGCTCCTTCTCCAGGGATGCTTTCCCAGTAGTCAGCCATAAAAGAATGTCATGCATTACCTGGTCACCCAGCACCCACCCTAAAAGAAAAACAAAGCTTTATGGTTAACAACAGTGAAGAAGACAGTGATCATATTCACATTTCTCTTCATGATTTTTACTGGCAAGTCAAAATTGCTAGGAAGCCCATTCTTCATTGGCTAGGGAATTCTTCCAGAAGTGGCAGAAGGCAAAAATGAGTCATTAGAACTAGGATGGGTTTTGGGGTTTTTTTTGTTTTGGTTTGTTTGGGGTTTTTTTCTTCTTTTGGGAAATCACTTTTCTAGGTCATGGGCATAGATTGTCCTAGGGTTTCCCTACCATGCAAGAAAGTGTGTAATAAACATGCTACGTGTATATCAACACTTTAAGTGTCCCTGCTTTTATTACTGTTATGTTGTTATACATTATTTTAACACAGTTTCTTTGTGTTCATTAGACTCTCAGCATAAAGAAGAAAATATGACCCAGATATACACTGTATTGAAGGCTCTGTAAATTGGCACTACTTGCTGTTTCCAGTTCTGGCTTGCTAAACAACTATGCATTTACAAGGTACTGAAGGTGGTTTGCATATCTGATCAAGCTTACACATTTCTATTGTTATTAACAACTTGCAAAAGATAAGGAACTCTCCATCCAGTAACTTACACCATCAAAACAAAGGTCAGGACAGACACATTCACTGTAGTTGGAGGCGTGGGTCTGATAAGCTTCAGCTGAAAATTCTTGGAGAGAGACCTGTCATTTGGGATAGTGTTTTACTATCATGGAGCATCTGCAATTGAGGAGCTCAGTAGTAACTCACAGGATTGTGATGAAGACATGGCTCTTTGCTGCAGGAGAGCAGCTGGGAGTTTGCAGTTCATTCCTCAGTACTGAGTGGGCTGCAGCCTTTGAAATGCTTTTGAGTGTTCATTCATTTCAGTTCTTAATCCTGTTTTAAAGTTAAGAGCATCTGCCAGTGTGGGCAAACTGTATTTCTTGCATGGCCACTTCTGGTCTAGGAGATGATGTTAATAAGCCTTGAGAGTGTCCTGATTATGTCAAAGAGGTGCTCCTGACAAAGTTCCCCTTCTGCAAGATATTTAGAAAACTTAAATGGATGCAAGCAAGGTCTGGAGACCACACCAAGAGGTTCTAAAACAGTAACAGGATTAAAAATCACATATGGTTAAAGTCTTTTAAAAAAGGCAAAGTACAAGAAGTATCTAGAATTTACAGTGAGACTTACTTGCATAAATGTTTATAAATTTTATCAAACAACTCATAATTTTGACAGTTTTCCATAAACCCCTGGAACATGCAAAGCATTTAATTTATTTGTGGCAAGATAAAGATAATGAGCAGCATTTTAAAAGTTTATTAACATAGAATGTCCTGGCACAGTCATACTTACATACTTCTATTGTTTAAATTATATTTTCTGAGAAT